ACACTCTCCCATAAAGCTTTGGCTGTTGAAAAATCCGGGCAACAGTTGTATGCACATCTCTCCCATCTCAGCTTCTGAAGCTTTGAACTCTTTCAGAGGAGTCATAGGTGTCTTGGTGGCCTCCATCACTCGCCCCTTTCTTGCACGGTCACTCATTTATTCAGGACGGAGATCTACGCATATGCTGTATTCTTTTTGTTTATTAATGATGGATTTAAATGTACTCCAAGTGATATTCAGTGACTTGGAAATTTTCTGGTAGCCATTCACTGACTTATGCTTTACAGTAGCTTTTTCACGGAGGTCTTAGCGTGTTCTTTTGTCTTCATGGTGCAGTTGAAGCCATTTCTATCACCAGTCGGCTGCACCATGTGTCGAATTAGATGCGTCACTTTAAATAGAGTGAATAATTATGCAGTTGCTTATTTTACATTTTATATTCCTAATTAACTGAAATTTATTTGCAGAAATCTGTTTTCACTTTGACATGAAAGAGTCTTTTTTTTGGGGTAAATTCGAACCTAAACTAAGTATGATTCAGTGTTGAAGAGCAATGAAAGGGGAACACTTTCAAGGGGGGTGATTACTTTTTACAGGCACTGTAGAGAACTCTTTCCATGACTGCTAGTTACAGACTTCTGTGTCATTTTTCTCAATTAAGAACCTTCCAAAGAAAAGAAAATAAGATAATTCAACCACAGCTTTCAACACTCAGCATTTAGCAAGAAGTTAACAAGTTAAACCGGCACCACACTACTGATATTTCCAACAAATGTTCCTTGTATTCAGTACGTTGATGCTCAAATTGGCAGTCATGCTCCCCCTCACCTCCCTCCTGATTTTAGTTGGGAGTGCTGATACCGGTAAGACTGAGTCATCCATTGGACGTAATTGAGTTCTGGAATTGTAAGGTGATGTCTGGTTGGAATGCAGTTCTGAGACATAAACCAGGAAAGACTTGATATTCTAAAGTGCAGAACATGTTGGCACCACACAGTTCACACGAAGCCTTCCACCCCTGTTACTCTGACAGGGAATCAAGTTCAAAGTAAGTGACACAAGACTCACGCAGGAAACTCATTACACACTACGCTGGTGATGTGCTGCACCTCTTCCTGTTTGCTCTACCCATTATTTCTGTGTTGTCACATAATCATATGACTTTCATTTCAGCTTTAACCGTGAGCGTGATGTAAGTCTCATGCAGCAGTGGTGTGTATTCTAGAATTTTACTTTTGGTTCTAACTCATCCTGTTCTAACTGTGCAATTCCGGATTGCTTTGTTTTGTGTTTATGGTCTTCGATTTACTTTCAGAGAACTCGTGGCCATAGTAAGGAAAGTTTTGGAAACTTTAAAACAGACAAAATTCTCAAGAAGACAGACTTCTCCGCGGGCTCTTTTCATCAGCTATCATCATCACTGCTTTGACAAAGCTTCCCTCCTTCTAATTAAAATAGCCTGTTAATATTATATTGATTAATTTCAGATGAACTCAAGTGCTGGCACTAATCAGCCTATTATGAAAAATTCCTCCATCAAGATTCTCATTTTCTTTTTCTCTCATGCTGTAACTTTTTGTTTGTGTGAACCATATGTCCCAAATTAATAAAGCCAGGCAGTATACTGAGCCCTCTTCACTCTGTCACTGCTTGTCACAGTAGGATTGGCCTCAAACTTATTCTCTCCCTCCCTCTCTGTCTCTTCCTCTCTCCCCCTGTATCTGCTCTCTCTCTCTCTCTCTCTCTCTCTCTCTCTCTGTTCTTTCTGTTTTCACGCAAGTGTCCCAGTTAAGAAATTGCTTACATCCCACTCAGTCTGGGGCTGGATTGAAATTTCCCATAGGGTATGTACCAATATGCAGAGAGCACACTTCGACAGATGCCATCAGAGAACAAGCATATGAATTACCAGGCAGCCTGCCATCTTTGAGTTCAGACAGAATGGCATTAATACCTGATTACGATCCAAACAACAACACAACAACAACATGAAAGCCAAAGCAACTGGGAGCAGGTAAAGGTTTCATCATTTATATATTAATGGATTTACTAACAAAGACTCTACTCCCCCCCTCAAAAGTTAAAATGTCATAGAGGCTGCCAACAATCAAGGGACTTTGGAAAAAAAAAAAAAAAAAAACTAGGGGTAAGAAATCTGATGCCGTCAGCAAATCACGTTCCAATAAATTAAATATTCGCCACTGCTGACCATAACTAATTCAGAAGCCATGATAAATTCATGACTACAATTAAAGAAAACACGATCCCTTTAATTTCAAATGGCTGTAAATATTGGCATTACCCAATTAAGTCACATTTGACTGCAGGAAAAAGTACCTGCAAATGAATCATACGCGCTGAAACTGTATTGTCTGTGAGGAAAAGTTTCTTTTCACAGCTTTAAAAATTCTCGAGGCATGGCATTGTTTCATATGATGGTTTAACCGTATATACCTTTGAGCTCAATATTCACAGAGTGTGCAAATTATTGCCATTTTATTTTGCCGCTTTTCTCAAAATCTTCAACTTAAAGCACAACAGTGAGGACGATTTATATTTTTGTTTTTAAATACAGGTTTATGTCATGATGGTTTTGGTTAAAAGCACATTATCTCTTTATACCCTGTATTGCAACTCAAAGAAGAAATTATGACATGCTGTTCCATAGTCATAAATAAGACATTTTATGTTTAACTCTTGTGGCAAATATTAACTCTAACACATAAGAAATGAGTTATGCTGGACTGTGAGATTTCTTGAAGAGAAAATGTCTTTGTGGTTAGAAAATAAACAATTCAAAACCACACAATGGATATGTCAGAGGTCCTTTAACCCAGAAGGTCTCAGGGCTGCAGCCAATCAGTGTGTGTGTTTGTGTGCACTGTGTGTTCTTGCCTTCACCCAGATTTCTCTTTCTTTCATCATATAGTGTCTGTGATCAATAATGAATATCGGATTTTTAGTGCATCTCGTATAGAAATCCACTGTGTTTGACTCCTCGCTAATGATATGCGTGTACATTACTACAATATAGATACTATACATGAATAAAGAAAAAAACAAAGGCTGACATGATTACATTTCTGTACAGGGCGTTACTACCAGTATTTTCTTCAAGCCTGCATTTAGAATTTTTTTTTTTTTTTAAACACACAAATAAGACAATGGATGTTACTAAAAATGACAGAGAATGATTTTGATGGCATCTCAGTTTTTGTACCCAGTTGGAACCTTAAAGTTTCAACCAAAGTAAAACTCCAACGTAAAACTAATTTTGATTCAAACTTACTGTCGCAGAGCAAAATTTCATTTTTTTCACATTCATGTGTTGTTGTTTTGGTTTTTTTAACTTGTTTGTTTAATCAGTTTAGTGTGAATTCTCCATTTTTAACAAATATTGTCTGAGTTGTGCCAGGTAGAGCACAAATGGCGTAAATCTCATATGAATTTTTATTTATTTTTTTAATTGAATGGTTTTCCTCTTCAAGCAGCTGCAGCATCAGCTTTTTGGCCGTGCAAAAGACAGATTGCGGTGACTTTGATAGCCCTCTTCCTGCTCTCAGCTCGCATCATGATAAATGGTCCATTTTGAAATCCATAATGGACACTGATGTACAAGCACTCTTCCCTCTTGACATTGAATTGTCTTCTTCCATCAGTCAGGCGTCTGGTCTTCTCAGAGAACACTCTCCGTTTGGGATTTGTTTGTTTTACAAAGGTACAAACCAATTTATTTGGCTTCATATCTTGTAATTTAGATGTTTGGTTAACCGCATTTTCTCTAACTTACCTTTTATTGAACAGTAATTAAGTCCTTAAATAAATCTTTATGATGCCACTGCATCCGATCGAGCAGGAGTGAGAAAGTGTGATGTGGTTTGGCCACCCACATGGCTCTTAGTGTGTAAAAGTAAGGGCTGATGTTAGCTCCCACTTCCCGTCTCAGTTTCCACCTCACAAATGAAACAAACACAACATCAAAACACGGACACTGACTTCCTCGTGCCTTCCTCCCTCCAGCCTAATCTCTGCTGCCTTTTGTGTGAGGAAACAGTTGCGTGTAATGTATACAAGACATAATGTGAGTCAGAGGGGATTGAGAGAGAAGGTGGGAGGGGAATTAAGGAAAAGGGGCAGATTGGAGGGGCGTTGGGCTCCCAGATGCCCCTGCCCCAGTGTGTGTGTGTGTGTTGGTGTGTGCTGGTGTGCCTTAGAGATGACTGTCAGCAGGCGGTGCCTAAGAGAGAGGAGAGAGAGGGGGGTGATGTTTCCAAAGGGGGCCCAGTCTGTTACCACAGGGAGGTGGAGATTTACTATCCCACCCAGTCAAAGTGTCTCACTGGTGCTCTGCATACACACACATATACGGAGATACACACAACCTCACACACACACACGCGCACACACAGAGTTGAGCACATACACTCAGACATACTGCAAACTCTCCACAGGAAACTCTGAGCCATAATGCGAAGGCACCTCAGAGCAGACGGGTGCATTGCTCAAACCAAGTGGGATACGGTGCGGCTTTGATAGTGCGTTAATTACTCATGTGATGTGATACAGATGTCTGGGGGCTTCAGCTGAAAGTTTGCCTGACGGTTTTCCAAGGGGGCCAGGCAGACATTTTAGAAGCGGTAGGTGAAAACCAAACGTATTTATTATTTATGGATAGATCAGTTTGCGTGCTGTCACAGATCCCAGCAGTGTCATGCTGATGCTAAACTGTGATGCTACTTGAAGGGCTGGCTGCTAAATAGTTCTTTGTGTACTTGGTGACAGCTGGGACTTTGAACAGGAAGAACTCTGGGCTATAAGAGTTGCCTGCACTGTGACATGATGAAAAGGGCTCCTCTATCGATCTAATAGTTTGAAACTTTATCTCCTCTTTACCAGCAGTTCGGTGATATGAGATACTCTGATTTAGTCCAGAAAGTTTGTTGTTGGTCCTGTGAACAAGTGGGGGGATTTAAGGTATAACTGTACTTTGTTTCCTAAATTTTGGATGGCTACCTGTTTTTTATTTTAACTTTCATGCTTGCATTGCGCAGCTGAACGGAAATCTAGCCTCTTCACGGCTAAAAAAAGCCCACAACCACATGTCTAAACCTTCAAAATTAGAAACAGAGGGAGAATGCAGAACAGAGGAAATCATCCCGTGCAAACCCACACAAGGGGCTCATTGTCAATACAGCACAACTTGACATGAAACCTCACCTTGCAGCTGCATTATTGACACATAGACTCTGTGCCCAATGTGCTCTGCTGATGCCTCATCCTCACTGTCTGACTGTAACTGGTCCTGGCATCCTCCATCTGTGCCCCCTTGGCAAAACCTTTTTGAAGTCTTAAAGACGTTGTTAAACTTCCTCATAGCTTTGGAAAGGGACAGTAATGCTGTCAAACTTTCTTGTGCCTGACTCATAATATTACACTTTGGTTAGAATCTGTCTCTTCATTTTGAGGGAGCGAGCAGGTGAGAGAGAAGTTTTTTTTCTTTTTCTTTTAACAAGTGTGTATTCTGACATTAACCAAATTCTCTTCTTGTTTTTTTTTCTTTTCTCACCAGTGATATATTGGGACAGTCTTTCAATCAGTGAAATCAAAGCGCTCAATGCGTTCCATAATGGGCACCCCGGCTGGGCATATGTTGGTGCTAATGGCCTGTATGGCAGCCAGAGGAATGTGCCAGATAAACAGAGCTGAAGCAGAGAAGGACCCTCTCCCAGCCTTTCTCGTCCACGCCACGCTCCAGTCTGCGGATTTCTACAGCACTGTCAGTCCTAGTGCGGGGCCCGACCTGCATCTGGGGTCCCCCGGAGCTGATGTGCAAGCTGTGGTGTCTGGTTTTCCCAATGACACCGTCCAAAAAAGGGCATATCGACCTCCGATGTGCCTTGTAAATACCTCTATTAACAGCTATTTTAAGTACATCAACACCATAATCTCCATTACGGTCTTTGTGGTCGGCATGGTCGGCAACGCCACCCTGCTGAGGATTATATACCAGCACAAGTGCATGAGGAACGGGCCCAACGCCCTCATCGCCAGCCTGGCCCTGGGCGACCTCATGTACATTTTCATTGACATACCCATCAACGTATACAAGGTAAAGTTTTTACTCCACTGGTGCATGTTGATTTCAAGTCCTAATCCCTTTTTTTTATTTTTCAGCCTGCTGAATTTCACTATGGTTATGAAAAAATGCAGCAACAATGGAGGTGATACACGCATAGATAGAATGAATTATTACAGACGGGAAAAGGGGGAGAGTGGGAACGTGCAAATAGACGGGAAAGTGTAATCAGTCGGACACTGTTATCTCCCTTGTGTGGGCAGATTAGCGATGAGAGGAGCAGAGACATGGCTGGCTTAAATAAACACAGGAATCAGGCTGGAGTCACACATGCCACTGGCCTTGTATCGACCTGAGACATTAGTCACCAACCCTTATCTGGAAACTTTACTTAAAAAAAAAAAAAAACAAAAAACGAGAGATCCCACTGCTCCACAAGTAATTTATCACTTGTGATTTATCACTTGAGGAGTTTTTTACTCAGATCTTCATTAAAGCCCCATTAATATACATTTTTAAACTAAACAAAAGTGGGGTTAAAAGGTGAAACTGTAAAAGGTAATAAAGACTGATACTGTAATGTATCAGGCTGAACAACTGGCAGTAAGTCATAAATAAAGTTGGCTTATTTTTCTTCTGTTAATGAGCAATACAAAAGTATTACCAAAGTATGGAAAAACACAATCAGAAAACATTAAAATTGACATTTACTTGTCTAATGCGCATGCTAGTTTCAGACTCACAACTATTTTCTTTGCTTTTTTTTGAAGAAAAAAAAACAAAAGAACTGTTTAACGATGATAAATTGCCATGGGGCTCCTGCTTTAGTTTGATTTATACGAGTAAACACTGTCATGCTTTGTGCAATAATAAAGAACGATGGCAAAATGAAGTGATCAGTCAACCTGATCTTTTGAGCCCATTATTGGTCGCCATCTTACAAGAGAAAAATGAGAGAGCCACCTGGTTGAAATTAACTTGGGACTGCGAGAGCGCAGCGACTTTGTAGTCTGAGCAACACATGTGCAAAGGGGGAAACAAAAGTCTTACTGGGGGAGCAGTTTATGCACAAACAGAGAACGAGCCACGTCTACAATGTTGAAATCCCCCCCTCCTGTTCTATTCCTTGGGGCGAGGACATTGTTTCCAAAAACACTGTCCTTTGTTTTGTCATGTAAAACCTCTGTTCAGTGACAAGAAGGCCACTTTATGAAGGTCTTTTACAGTGAGTGCATGACCTTGACTTATTTTACTACAGTGAGGATTATCAAAAGATGTTCTACAAGAGACCAAAGATACTCGTGACAACATAGTGCCTTTGACCTAAACTTTAGGTCTTGAGTGTTTTTTCTTTATTGCATATGTGAAAGTTTTGTAAAAACTTCAATCAGTACGTGTTCTCCACGTCAGATCAAACTCAACAAAGCAAGAGCATCTATTTAGCAACACAGGTAGATTAATAGCAGGCTCCCAAAAATACACGCCAAGATAAATGACTTCATTAAAATCATTTACCTGTTAGTGACACGTCAACAAAAGCCAAACAGTGATTTAAAGGCACGTTCTGTTAATGTGCATGTGATGAATGTACAACAACAAATTCTGCTGCACACGTGATTGATTTAATTCCTTTGAGATACAGCGAATGTTTATGTTTGACGTTTTTTTTTTTTCTTCCCTCCAGCTCCTGGCTTCTCGCTGGCCGTTTGACGACAGCACCTTGGGCCTGTGTCTGTGCAAGCTGGTTCCCTTCCTGCAGAAAGCCTCTGTGGGCATCACTGTCCTCAACCTGTGTGCCCTCAGCGTGGACAGGTCAGTGGTGTCACACTCCACACCCAGCAGCTGGGGTTTGATGGGTTATGATGATGGTAACAATTTAGGAAATCTTTCTCTGTGTTCAGCCAAAAATATTCAACTGGTGTTTGTGCATAGATTGCGAAATAAAGGAAATTAAATCTTTCTGCTTTCACTCAGGCACGACATCACTGTTTCTCATTAAGATGTTTTTTTATCTGTTTTTATTGTTCCATAGAGACATATGAAAGGCAGCAGTGTTTCCTCTTTTCCGTCTTGTCAAGCCAGCATCGTGTTTGTACAGACACATATTGATCCAGATGTGTGGTTTTTTTTTTTTTTATCTACATGAAAAGCAGACACAATGTTCCACAATTTTTTTTTTTCAAAGAGACTGCCAAATTATCGGAAAGAAAATTATGCAAATCTGATCTGGCCGATTTAGACTCACCAATTAATCCATATTTTACTCAGCATGAGAGATCATTGCTTTAGATTAATTTGTTACAAATATTTTCTTCTTACGTAATTGAGGTTATTAGGAGATGCAGGGACTCGTTTAGACCAAATATATTAACATTTTGATTTGATTCCAGAGTAGCAACAGGAAGGCTGAGATAATCACCATCAGGAAACTCGTTATCTCAGGGCTGATTGTGTAGAAAAGTTATTTATCTCTCTGCTCATCTGTCGTGTTCAAAACCTGTGTGATGAGCCTTTTTCTTTTAAAAAAAATAAATAAATTCTTCTTCTATTATTTGGAATCATGTATTTTATATGCAGCACTAAGTGTATAATACATACAGGATGTGCATTGTATGATTTATTTGTGATGTTAACATTAAAGCCAGTGTACTGACAGGTACTTTTTTTTTGTTAATAGTACCTTAATAGAAATTCCATAATGAATAAATGATGATCATGAAGTGCTGAAGCTCAGTGTCATCTCACTTTATGCACTAGACATAACGTTGGAGATAAGAGACTCGCCTACAGCCTCTGAATAGGCTCCAAGGTTCAACAAGGCACAAGATTTTTTAATGACCTCTATTATGAGGAAAAAGGCAGGCTGCAGTGCTGTACAGCCGCGTTCAAGAGCAGATGCTCTCCTGTTCGCTTCCAGGAAATGTGTAGCATATCGTCGTCTGTGTGTGCATTATGAAAAAGCACTCGAGTCCCTTTTGTATCTTTTCAATGTTGGAGGAAGAGAAAAAGGTAGATACATTACCACTTAGTAAAATATAAATGCCGCCATGTTGTTCAACAGAGAAATTCAAATGTGTCATGAAAAATATATTGTTTTTGCCATAAAATCTTGATGCACGATTTTACTAAAACATTTCGACAAGTGGTTTCCATTAATGAAACAAACAAGCAAACAAGTATTTAGTGCACGGGAAACACAAGCCAACAGACAGACCTCTCTGCCAACATGGGCCAGTCTGTTTGGAGGCTTCACAAAAATATAAATATTAGATATTTAAAATAAACAATTGATCATCTCTCCTCATTAATTCTTAACATTTTGATATTCTTTGCTGACTGAGCAGTTTGTTGTGTTTGGTGTGCTGCCATGCATAAAGAAAACGCTGCTAGCTTTGACAGTCAGGGAAGACAAAGAAAGTGATGACTTTACTGGTTTGTTTTTTTCTTGAATGATGGAACAGTGAGAGAAAGCAAGTGAACTCTGGATGACCTTTGATTAGTAAATTGATTTTTTTTAACTGTAACTGTTCTATTTTAGACTTTCTTACTTTATGAGTGCTATATACTATCATAGTATTTCTTCCTGTCCTCGCTTACATCCTCCAGTTGCTTTCCTTTAATCAGTTTAACCGTCTCTTTGTTTCCTCCTGTGTCCTCCAGGTACAGGGCTGTAGCCTCCTGGAGCAGGGTGCAGGGCGTCGGCATCCCTCTCTTCACAATCATTGAGATCGTGTCCATTTGGGTGCTGTCCCTCATCCTGGCTGTACCGGAGGCCGTCGGTTTTGACATAGTCCCCTTCAACTACACCAACAGCTCCCTGCGCACCTGCATGCTTAACCCCCAGAGCAGTTTCATGACGGTACGCTGTTGTAGTGTTCTTATCGCTTCTGGATAAGAAAATTGCATTTAGGTGCTTTTGTGTCCCGTGTGTTTAGATCGTGTGAAGGCCAAGATGTTCTGTCAAGTACACTGTAGCAAAGAAGAGCTGATGAGTTACACAATATGGAGACAAAACATCATTGGACTGATGAGATAGGAAGTCCACCTGCGGGAGCACTGTTCAAAACAAAAGCGCAAGTTCAGATGGATCTTTCCATCATCTTAAAAGCATGTGTTGTTTGTTTGGAGTGGGTGATTGTTTTTAATGGAGAGCTGGCAGGCTATTTAGATTTTATTTGGGAAGATATTTTTAGGGCATTAATATACCAGTAAAAACAACCACCTACAACGTTTCCTGCTCGTGCCATTAATAATTAAAAACATGGGAAAATTTGCATGTATATTGAGAACATGAGAAATCTAGAAAGCACCTACTTAAGGGTGTGTCACTCCACCCAAATTCATTGCAGTCAGTATTTTGAGTGGCGTATCACTTAAAGCCATGAACCTGGTCTAGTTACGCTCTTTTAGTGATTGTGGCCTTTTTCACATCCTTGGAGCACATAATTGATTGCAGGCCAAGAGCAATTACTGAGGCCTGGGGCCTCAAGCTGAACCACATGTGTACTCGACCTGTTCTATACACACAAGTATCTCACAAACACAAGTCTAAGAGACACACCTCACACCTCTTAACTCCACTGTTAGATAGCAATAGAACAGCTTGTTTTCCTTTTTTGAAAGACTTTCACACCTATGGTAGTTTTGTTAGTTCTCAGCTCAGGATGCCAAACTTTGGGGTGGATCTGCAAACTGAAAGATTCGAGGAAATTGTGCAATAAGGTTTGGTCAAGTTTGAACGGTTATGAAACTGTGGTGTCTTTAAAGAGCGTATTTAACATATTTCTAGAGCCACAGACAACCAAAAGTCCTTATTATACACAGTGTAATTAGAACCGGTTTGATTTCAGACTTGCTAAACTGAATACAGAGCTGCAGTCACGTGGACTTAGCTGGCCCTGGAGTACAGGGGTAGTCTGGTGGTGGTTTATTTACAAAAGCATGGGTTCGACCATAGCACAGTCAACCTTAGTAATTTCCAGGTTGTATCTATAGCCGTCGATCACACGTGATGTCTGAGTCGGCTTTTAAGGCCCATTTCAGTAACAGATGCTGAAATTTAGGAAGAGACATTCCCTCCACAGATAACTTGGGCACACAAGGACCTATAGGTGGGGATGATCTGATTATAATGTAGGTTTATGAATTAAATGTAATCGAATGCATTGCTGTGTTTGTCTTCTTCTAGTTCTACAGAGATACAAAGGACTGGTGGCTGTTTGGCTTCTACTTTTGTGTACCTCTGATATGCAGCGCTATCTTCTACACCCTGATGACCGTGGAGATGCTCAACCACAGGAACGGCAGCCTCCGGATCGCTCTCAGCGAGCACCTCAAACAGGTTGGACAGCAAACAGAACAAGCAGACCAGTGTTCATTTCACGGTTTTAACATTTCCTATCACGTACGCACTTTGTCATTTCCTCCCTAATGGTGAGACATAATCTGTTTCTTGTCCCCACAGAGGAGGGAGGTGGCCAAAGCTGTCCTCTGCCTCGTCCTCATCTTTGCCCTCTGCTGGTTCCCGCTACACCTCAGCAGGATTCTTAAAAGGACGATTTACTACCAGAATGATAGGAAGCGCTGTGAGCTGCTCAAGTGAGTTTCTGCTGTTTTCAAGAAGTTTCCTGCAAAATGTATAGGACATGACCCTGGGATGATGATGTTAACTGGGAGGGTTACATTACCTCAGTGTTGCTCAGTAAAAAAAAAAAATCCTCTCCTCTGTTCTCCTCAGCTTCCTATTGGTCATGGATTACCTCGGCATCAACCTTGCAACAATAAACTCCTGCATAAATCCCATTATCCTCTACTTTGTCAGCAAAAAGTTCAAAAACTGCTTCAAGGTACAGTACTTCCCTTTTACAGAGGAATAGAAATGCATGTGGAACACACACCTGATCACTTTAGTCACACACATTGAACCTTCTGATTTAGTTGTGCCACTTACATGAACAGTGAAACTCAATCATCTGTCCATTACCTGGGGGGGCTGTGACAGCGATGACACTCCATGACCAACATGTAAAAGCAGCCTGGTGATTTATGAAGACACTTTACTGGCTGAGGTCACACACACACACACACACACACACACACACACACTGCAAATGTCTGTCATAGAGCTGGAGGTAAACCATGTCTGAAATGAGAGACTATAGGTCCACATATGGACAAAAAAAAACAAAACTCTGTAAACACTGCCATGTTGAAACGTTCTCTTTCCCCTCTTTCCTCTCTTTGCATGTTCTTCCAGTCGTGTTTGTGCTGCTGGTGTTACTCCGACAACCAGCTGAGCAGCATTGGACCCATGAATGGCACGAGCGTACAGTGTAAGAGCCCCGAACCCAACAACCTCCACACTGACCGCAGCATCAGGAAAGACAGCAACTGATCTCGCGCCTCGGGAATATTTTTGAAGACCTTCCAGCGTCCCCCCAGCAAGTGCTTAAAATACAACCAATACACATCCTTAAATATAGACATCAAAAACGCACTTCTTTTTTTTCTTCTTCTTCAGACAACAAATAGTCTAAGTTAGGACCACTAAAGCAGCACATGGATGAGGAACTGGAAATAAGGAACAAACAATGGATTTGGTGTACAATGCTCTGAAGTTTCCTGAGCCTCTCAGCAGGGCCGAACTTCCGAAAGACAAACTCCCCTCTGTTCCCACACCCACGGACAGTGACGCTGTAGCTTGAGAGAAAGGAGGGAGAGCAGGATGAGGAGGAGGAGGAGGAGGAGGAGGAGGAAGAGGAGGAGGACTCTTTAAAGGGATGCAGCTGAACACGGACTATAAATTACTCTCTATCAGGAGTCAAGCATGCTATTCCTGTAAAGGGCAGCACTACTGGGAAGGATGCTACAGGAAGGAAAAAGCTGACTGCTCGCTGTCAGAGCGGATGATGAGAGATGAATATGTGCTGTCCCCAGGAGTTCGCCACTCACTGGCGATGAAAAACAGGAAAGCGCGTTACTGACTCGAGCCGCAATTAATTTTCCATTAAACGTGTGAGCGGTTGTACAGTGTATTTTACTCGTGCTCATTATTCATTAAGCTGCTTTGTGGTATAATTAGAAGATGCTTAATGTTTGATTCCTACTGCTTCACGGAAGAATCATGTCAGGATGTGCCAAAGTACCTGGCACGAAATCAAGTACAGGGTTTCAGGTTTTAGAGCAGATAGACACTGCATTATCATAGCACATGTCAAACAAACACTTAATAAGAAGTAGGGGAATGGATTATGGAAAGTCTGATATCACCACTGACCAAAAATAGACAAACTTTTTTTTCTTTTTTTTTTTCTTCAACACTGTGAATTTTACCATTTTACAAAACATCACTTATGGCAGCATTTATGCCTGAATAATCCATAGAATATAATTATATGTATATTGTCCACTTTTATAAAGTGTTATATTGCAGTAATAGTAAGTATTTTATTCAGACTACGTTACATTTGTAATGACATAGGCAGAGAATGGTAGATACTCCAAGCTTGTAGTTGGACGTTTTAGAAAATATGTCCCTTTTTTTGTTGGCGTTACTTTGATGGCGTCCAGTTAGCCTGGCTTTGCATAAAGAGTGGAGACAAGTGGAAAACAGGTGGCCTGGTTTTGTCCAAAGGCAACTAGGTCCACCTGCTAATTAACACCTTATTTTTTAAAAATCACATTTATTTAATTTTTTTTTAAATAAAAAGAAGCCTAACCAGGAGGAGAGGCTGGCTGTCGTGCTGCTGCAGCCAGGAGTGACTAGGAATAATATCTGTTTGGCTGTTGGCACTGTCATACATCCAAAATACAGGCTGGCTACTGCACTCATCTACTTTTACGTTTGTTAAGTTTTGAGTATGACAGATGTAGGTTTTAAAGTTGTTTAAAGCCACTTTTGATGAAGCTAAAGTAAAGTGATGATGTTAAACCTGAAATAACTTTTTCAAATCGTATTTAGTAATTAGTCACATTTTAACGAGGGGTTAAATTGTGGACAATTTCTCGGCTGGGTGCAGTTACTTCCTGGATAAGCTAAACTGGCTGTTGGCTGTAATTTTATATTAAATGGACAGACATGAGATCAATGTTCTCAACTATCCCTCAGCAAGAAAGTCAACAAGGCTGTTTCCCAAAATGTCCATCTATTGTTTTTATATGGAAACCATATTCAGCTATCAAACAACTGTGCTGCCTTATATTATGTGATATGTGAACACATGTAAACCTGTGTGAGTTTGAATGTGCATGTGAGTGTATGCTGCGTGTATAATTACTTGCACGTCTTTCGTTGGAGTGTTTTTGCACACTTGTGTACGGCGGAGCAAGCGATGTCTGTACAGCATCATTTTACCACTATTCCTCAAAGCGATTCATAACAATCCATAGAAAATGGACTTCATATCTATTTGTTGCCATTGATTTAACATGTTAACCTCACGTTAATGCTGCTCCTTATACCAATAAATCAGTTTCCATCTCCACCGTAAGAAACTAGGAGGTTTATTTTACCATCATACTGTTTTCTCCGAGACGTCAAAGGGGCCCCATTCTGTTTTTCATCCGCATCTGTGAGAAGGAGGCGTCTGGGAATGATTTGAAACACACTGTGACCTGCTTGGCAACTGAGCCCTAAGGGTTGCTAATGTCAGCAGAGAGGATGTGAACGACTTGGACGGTGGGAATTTGATACATATAATTCACTTCTCATCTCTTTTGCTAAAAAAGAGGACGGAAAAAGGCAATGTTTGACCGTTATGTAGTTGTGTTTTAATCACAGTTTAGCTTAAATGAGGCAGGATTGTATATATTACGCATCTAAACAATGTCATAGAGGAAATAAATAAGAAAAAGCTGCTGAAAACTGAACAGCATTAATGCAAGCTACACTTGATTTAACTCAATGACTGTCTCTTTAATGCAACAACCTTCTTTTTTATTTTTTGTCCAAAGGCCTTAAATACAGTTTGCATCAAGACAGGGTTCATGACACAATTCAGTGTCTCCACAGTTATGACCAAATATGTCATTAACCCAGGATTACACTCTCTGTCACTGTCAAAAAGAGACGGTTACCAGAGCCACGTAATCCCACATACAAAGCTGAAAAACACCCAAAACCAACAAAACAGTGTAGCAGCCGTGGCTTTATCAGACATCGTTCTGTTGTTTGTTTCAGCGGGTTGGCGATAAATCTCAGTCAGGTCATAAACTTTCTGAAACTGTTTCATATTCCTCATATGAAATCATGTCACATTCACTTCTCAGTAACCTTGAAGAAACTCTGAACTGCTCAGTACCGTGGTTGCTATGAGGTAATATTTCACGGTTTAATGAAGCGGAGAAAAGAGAGGAAAAAAAGACAGAGAAAGTGATATTAGGATGAACTTTGGAACATATTCATGCTTTCTTAGGATGTCAAAAGAGGGGAATCAGTAGTGTGAGAAAATGTGAAGAAGAATGAGGCAGAGTGGTTTTATTTCTGGAATTTGGTGGGAACCTTGTTTCCTGCCAGCAGTAAATTGAATAAAGCTCAAAAACAAATAATAGACAATCTCACAGGGCCAGAGTGCTTCTCCATGCAGAGCTTATTCAGATTTGGCTGCTGATACACTGTTGTTGACACCATGTTGTGTTCCTAAGATGTTTACAGAGGAAAAAAATGCATTACATAAATACTGTACATTTCTGTCTGTTATGTCCAGCTTAATTTCTTACTCTTTTATTTTGAAGGCCCAAAAGTGGCAGTAAAATGTTGCATAGTAATTTTTTTCCATAGTAATTTGTCGTTTTCTGTTTTCCATTTCAGATCATATAGATTAAAAGAATAATCGATTGCTACTTCAGAAAATTGGGTACCGTCAGGTTTTGCCATGTTTCACTTACAACATCTATTTAAGTATTTAAGGTGAGGGAAATATTGCTCAAAAGTGATTTCAGCTTAAAGTCCAGCATCTAGTACATGTAAATATACAAAACATATCTTTTTATTTCTGAAAGAGAATATTAATTTAGTGAACAGCAACAGTTTCTTCAGCATTTTCACTCTATGACCAATGATGAGAGCCCAGGGCTGGATTTCAAAACAAGCACAGAGGGAAACTGGCCCCAAACAAGTGTTCTTAACAATAAATTACATTTATTTTCAACACATAAACCACAACATGGGAAAAAATGGATGGAATTTGAAAATAAAAAGCACTACAGTAGGGAGTGGATGAAAGAAAATAAGCAGCATGGATGTTGCATTACAAAAATGAAAGCAAGAAAAGCTAAAAAGGTAAAGCTGTAGGAGGATAAAATATCAACTGAACGATCTATTTTGTTCTTTTTTTTTACATTGGAGACTTCTGGTCGATTTGTGTCTCATGTCTTGGCTTTTTAATCCAAGAAAAATAAAGCAGTAAACAGTTCAAGTTAGCCAAAGGACAGGACAGTATATGGTATAACAGTGGGTCAATGCACAACATGTCAACTCGTTGTTGGCTTTGGTTTTTTAATGGGATTTGTTGGCTTAAAAAAAAAAACATATAAAATACTACCAGACATACCTGAAGTGACTTTGAGGAGCTTCATCAACTCCATCACATTCAAGCTGTTGTTCCTAAACAACATCAGTGATGAACTGGAGTCAGCACCCTCAGTGGGTCTGAACATTTCCTGACACAAAGGCCTATGGCAGACATATTAGGATAAATAAGTAATTGTTGAACAATTGCAGTCTTGTGTATTCCTTTGACAAAGGAGGTGCACTTTGGCTGATTGCATTGTAGCTCAGGAATCAGACAGTATGTCTCCTCCTTTGTTCTGCATTGATTATTATTATTCTTCAGACCGATCCATTCTGTTTGTTCCATTTATGTGTGTTTCCAACAAGGTACACACTGTACGAGTTACTAAACCCCCACATATATGGCAATAATAAAGTGAGACTTGATGGACGCCACATCCTTTATGCTAAAATGTGTTTTTAGGTCTGATCAAACACAACATATGTTTATCTACCCTGCCCTTACATGGCTGTACCCTGTATGCCACTTTGCATGGCAATCCCTCGGAGCTATCCACCATGGCACTCGCTTGCACAACTTGTGGCAAAGACTATTTCTAATTCATAAAAGCCAAAAGGATCAATTCAAAATTCATGAACAATCTGTCCTGCAACAACCAGTGATTTCTGTGACTGTGGGGCAGTAGAGACATGGTGCAACAGAAAGGAAAGTTCTGCCTCCCCTCATTTTACAGGAAAAGAACACATATATACAGAGACACACTCAAGCGTTGGCGCGTACACATGCACACAGGAGGAAAAGGTAAAAAGAAGGTTCTGATGGTTTCTTACTATTTATCATTTAGATGAAACAAAAACACTCAAGAAACCAGGAAAATTTGTGCGCATTGCAAAAACAGCCTTTGAAAGATTGTGAACAGGTATTATCAATGTATGTTGGATATTTTTACCTCAACAGTATTTTATGGAAAACAATCAATAGGTCTTGCAGTACCTGTTGAAGGTTTTTGTTTTTTGACAAGGGACCAAAAAAACCCCAACAACTAAATATTATGTATAAAATCATGCTTAAGTCCATAAAGTGTGATCGACCTTGATTGTGATAAATAAGACGCTGTACAATGGATTGCATGCTGCACAAATGCTACACTTCAATATGTTACACTGAGTTTTGTCACAATCATCAAGTAGGTTTTTTAGAGTTGTGAGGGTCAAATAGAGCTTTTTTGGTACTGAATACTGCCAAACAGTGACAAAAAAAAAGCTGATATTTGGCTTGGCCTTAAAAGCAACCACTTAGACAAATAAAACAAAAATGGCAGCGAATAGTATTCAAGTAAAATGAGTTCAAGCAAAAACAGGCATGTTTATTTCTCTGATACATTGTAGTTCTGTCTAAATATAGCAAAATAAGCCAGTTTTGTGCATGCTTTTTCTCTGGAATGTTTTTGTTCAACTTCATTTAGATTTTTTTTTTCCAACAATGCTTTTCTGTCCTACATGTTATCTGATAGGCCTGTGAATACATTTCAATGTAGCCCAACAACTGAATGAATAAGCCACATCTACTCAAAGTCTGGAAGGTCTGAATGTCATCTACAGACAGTTTGTGCATCCGTTTTCAGACTACTGCCATACATTATACACTGTTTCAGGCCCGATGTCCTTATAATTGTTAATTCACATTGCCATCTGGTGGCCAAAGCACAGATCAGCTGGTCAATGCGATTGCAGTGCAACCAAACTAGATACAATACTCTCATTGTGATTGGCTAATTGCCTCAATGTGACCAATCAGATTAAAGACTGGGGGCGGGACTATAGTTGAAGAACAAACAGGAAGTACAGCTCAACAACAATTATTTCTTTGGAAACTTTCGCCCACAACCGGCTGTAGAGACACTTATGTTTATATTTATGTAGCCATTCGATCTACGTATGTGTGTTAATTTTATTTAACTGTTACCCAGCGACTTTCGACGACTCAGGCAGCATGGACAACCAGCACCGTTTGTTTACATGGTGAATCAGCTGACGAGCTAACGCTAGCAATCTGCTTTTTTACAACCGAGTCATATAAGCTGTTAATTATCCACCGGCCGTTATCAAATGAATGAAACTTAACATTAGCGAAGCAGTTAGCCTACATATACACCAGGCAGGAGTTGTTTCAGGTCGCAGAGAGCCGTTTATAGTGCAAAAATGCGAAACTAACGTTGGATACCTGAAGCCTTAGCAGCGTTGCTCAGACGAGTTAAAGTGTTTTGTCACCGGATCAGCGGCCGGTGTTAAAGGCCCTGCAGCGTCTTCATGACAAGATGCCTTGTTCCTGTGGGAACTGGAGAAGATGGATTCGGCCGCTGGTCGTGGTGCTGTATATCTTGTTGCTATTAGTCGTCCTGCCGTTGTGTATCTGGGAGCTGCAGAAGTCAGAGGTCAGTTCAGTCGATGGGTGTGATTGACATGTTGCTTCATTTTGGTTCTGGGATCCCTGCTGGTTTAACACCGGTGACCTGTTTACTAATTCACTGGCTACTCAAGTACTGCACTTAAATATAATTGTGAACTACTTATTTTCGACATTAGTTACAGATTAGTTCTCTCGAGTCATAAAAAGTCACATGAAAGTACCTTATGAAACATGATGTATTGCTCATTACAAAATGTCTTCATTAGATCCTTTTATGTTGTCACTGACACTTGAAAGTCTTATTTTGTTTTTTAAGAAAGTCAGAAAATCCACTAGTGCAATAAGAATATCATATTGTATAATGTACAATAAGAGTTTTTAAAACAAACAAACCTCTCTATCTTTAAGATTTTAGTGTATCAATCTGCCTCAGTCTATCTTGTCTTGATGCTCATTCTTATACAAAATACTTTACTTTTGCCTTAAGATTCTTCAATATTCAAACATGTTGATTTCATTTATAAACAGAAGTTTCTTGTTCAGTTTTTATGCTTCACACTGAAGCTGCCGTAACTGCATTTTAGACAAAGATTTTTTTTGATCAACTTGAAAATAATTATTAACACATCAGTGAACACACATTGCACTTTAATTATGTTTGATACTCTGAGCACATGTTGCTGATCACACTTCTGGATGTTCCGTTACATGCAGGACTTGAATGAAGTATTTTTGTACTAGAACAAAGCAGCTAAATTTTCCATCCACCACTGACTAACTTTATATTAAAAGTTAAAAGATTAAACTGCATAGTCAAATTGTTTAACCGCATAAACAAGGTTAATGTTCATTCTTTTTAACTGTTTCTTTTTATGTATTGGCAGGTCGGCACTCATAACAAAGCATGGTTCATTGCTGGGATATTTGTCTTCATGACCATCCCCATATCATTATGGGGCATCCTCCAGCATCTGGTTCACTACACTCAGCCGGAGCTTCAGAAACCTATCATCAGGTAAAGACGTCAACAATCGTGTAAGTCGTGAGTAACAGTCTGAAACGGGTTTTTAAGAGTCTGTCTTTTTTTCTATTAGGATATTATGGATGGTCCCAATCTACAGCTTGGACAGTGTGAGTTGTGCAACATTATTATAAAGCCATTATACACATTATTTGTATAGACTGAGGTAAAATGTCTGTACGGAAAGAATCACAGCTATTTTAAAAAAGCAATTTTTGCCTACAAGTAGTACATTCAAGACAATATATCCGACGCATTTGACAATGATATATTTTCTCATCTTCCCCTGTAATCCATCACATTTTGTCCTTCAGTGGATTGCACTGAAATACCCCGGTATAGCAATTTACGTGGACACATGCAGAGAGTGCTACGAGGCGTATGTCATCTACAACTTCATGACCTTCTTGCTTAACTACCTGGAAAATCAGTACCCGAGCCTGGTGATGATGCTGGAGGTCCAGGAGCAGCAGAAACACCTGCCTCCTCTCTGCTGCTGCCCTCCATGGCCAATGGGAGAGTGAGTAGCCTTCAGAATAATAACACTTTTACAACAGGAACTCGTATTCATAAAACCCCCGAGGGCCTCCTATGACGCTCTCCAACTGTTACTTTTTAACTGGTTAATTGATGTTACAATGCTCGGCTACATTCAACACTGCTTGGAAATGTGGCGTATAAGAGATATTCGTCAATTATTGGCCTTCATGCTTTGTCAGCTTTACTGGCCTTAGTTATACTGTCTTACCGTCTCATCAAATTAAAGATTTAATCTGCTTTTTAATAGCATAGTTCCGCCTTCTTGCATTTACTGAAGGAAAACAACATCATCCGTTTTAACGTCTGTGTAGATTCTTAGTCATCCAGATCATAGTAATCCAAAGTGTGTCAATCGGTATTTATTATCACCACCAGTTCACATGACTCAAGGGTAGTTAACAACCTGAGACGCACATGACTCAAGGTGTGAATGGTGGTGAAACTACGTGGGGATGATTGAAGGTGGTTGGACAGATTGCTTGAGAGAGGAGTTAAGGAAGTCATCTATGTTGAGCCATCTAAACAGGGCAGGGAGTCTATGACATCACTCATCAGGTACTTATAATATAGTAGTGAGATCCATTCCCACACAGTGTCACCACCATTCACACCTTAAGTCCGTTAGAACCGAGGTAGCCTCTTATTTTAGAGGTAAAATGTCTTAAACAGCAGAAAAGAAGTCCAGTTACCCTCTACTGAAGCACTTAGGGCAGGGGTGTCGACATCCGGTCCTCGAGGGCCGCAATCCTGCATGTTTTAGATGTTTCCATCTTCCAACACACCTGATTCAAATGATCAGGATGGTGATCAGGCTTCTGCAGAGCTTGATGATGAGCTGATCATTTGAATCAGGTGTGTTGGAAGAGGGAAACATCTAAAACATGCAGGATTGTGGCCCTCGAGGACCGGAGTTTGACACCCCTGACTTAGGGTATCCCTTTTGAAAGTATTGCCTTTCAGTTGGGTGTTTGTAATACAGAAGAAAAGAAAAGGTGACATTTTTGTTTCTTGTTCATGCACTTCAAGTTTGTCCCAATATTGAATCATGTCTCTTCTTGAAGTAAACAAGTCAACAACAGTCACCAGTTTTACATTAGCTTCAGTCAGGCAACATCAGTAATTGGTTAACATTCCTGTGCGCTGTTAATTTAGTCCAGAGTAGTTGTTACATGAGAAACCGATCCTCATGTAAAAACAAAACAATTCCCTGAAAACCAAAAGCATCTGTCTCGTGTGAAAAACTTTGTGTTTTATGCTGTTGTTCCGTTAAATCTTTCAAATCTCTACAGTATTGTTGCATTCTATAATAGGCCGTGATTGAGTAGCTGTTTGGGAAAATTAGGCAGTTTAGTGTTGAATCATGTCGTTAAACTTGTCTCAAGGGTCTACTCACCATATTTCTTAGGGCCTTTAGTTGTTGGGTTTGATCTTACATTCTGCGGATTTTACTGACATCAGAAAAGTAGTTGTTTTTAAATCCTTCACTTCTAATTCACGTGATACATCTTCTCTGCAGGGTTTTACTGCTGAGATGCAAACTTGGAGTTTTGCAGTACACGGTGGTAAGACCGGTCACAACAGTTATTGCTTTGTAAGTAAACTCTGCTTTACATTCATGGTTTAACAAAAAACAAAACAGTCAAATTATATTTACTGTTTGTATTGATGTCTGCTGCACTTCTTTCTTTTCCTTCCTAGAATCTGTCAGCTGTGTGGAGTGTATGATGAAGGCAATTTTAGCTCAAAAAATGCCTGGACGTACCTGGTCATCTTCAACAATATGTCACAGCTGGTAATTACGCTGCTGGTTTTTATTTTATTAAATGCGACAAAACATAATTTGCTTGAAGTAAGAACTGTATCATATATTAGATTCTGGTAGCACATTAGGAGATGCTCCTAAAGTTGTCACAAGCACCCTGTTTTTAACCAGATTTCCCTCTCTGTCTTCTTTTAATCCAGTTTGCGATGTACTGCCTGGTGCTGTTCTACAGAGCTCTGAGAGAGGAACTGAGTCCAATCAAACCCGTGGGCAAATTCCTGTGTGTCAAAATGGTGGTGTTCGTCTCTTTCTGGTAAATCTCAGTGTGTTCAGACTTCATAACATGACCTGGACATTTTTTAAAGAACATACTTTCCATGAGCTGCTTTTAATTTGCGTGGATGAACTGCATGTGCTGATGACTTGAAAGTTGTGTTACTTTTCCCAACTTTCCCAGGCAAGCTGTGCTCATTGCTTTGCTGGTAAAAGTGGGCATTATCTCAGAGAAACGCACTTGGGACTGGCAAAGTGTGGAAGCTGTAGCAACTGGCTTACAGGTAGTATAAAGTGTACCTAGTTAAACAAATAATACGAATGTGTGGGAATAAATGAGTTTGTTAGAGTCAACGGAGCGATAAAGTTCTGTTTGACCTCATAAATGTGAAATGCAGCTGAAAGACCAAAATGTCCTGCTTCCTTCAGGATTTCATCATCTGCGTAGAGATGTTTCTCGCTGCCATCGCCCATCACTTCAGCTTCACCTACAAACCCTACATCCAGGAGGCTGAGGAAGGCTCTTGCTTCGACTCTTTCATGGCAATGTGGGACATCTCTGATGTCAGAGCAGACATTTCTGAACAAGTCCGCAATGTTGGTATGTGTCCCCCGTCTGCTGGTGTACTCAAACAGCTTTCCTTTCTAAGAAGGTGTTGCTGACATTCTCCAATATTTAAAACAGTTCAAAGACATTTTCTGTCCACATTGACAGGGAGAACAGTCATGGGCCGTCCCAGGAAGTCCTACTTTGGTGAGGCACAAAATGATGGCGAGCGTTCCGGCCTGCTGTCTTCAGGGTCCCAAGACGCCATCACTGAAGCAGCATCCAACCCAGTGTCTCCTAAAGGTCAGTATCAGGGCCTTGGCAAAACCCTCACACCGCACTCCTTGTCGGCGCCCGCTGGGCTCGGCTCAGCCCTGTGGGATGAAGGGTATGAGGCCAGACCTGAAGAAGCCCAGGACGAAGAAAGGACCGACCAAACCAAAGAGCCGGCAGAGGCAGATCTCATCGTGATCACCTAGTTCATGCTGGTGTCACAGACTCTACCAGATACGGTTGGGCAGGACCCAGATACAGCCTGGCCATGTTCCTTTAGACATTACTGACACAAGCAGAACAACAAACTCGTTTAAAAGGGCACATCAACCAAGTAATAGCAGAAGTTCGCCAACAAATGCAAAACCAAATGGACCTCTCTGCCAGTGACAGCTCCAAGAATGTTCGGTGAAGACATGGCACTAAGAGACGTGTAGATGACATGCATTTTACGTTGTTTCATGTTGAACTAGAGAATTGTTTGGCTCAGCAGGCTTTTAGAATCCGTTTTAATTGGGAAAGACATACAGTCAGTTTTAACATGCATCCCCAAAAGTATTCTTTTCCTCAAAGAACCCGGTCTGTGTACTGATGTGTGTGAAACACTGACTGTGTTTCCTGATATGAGAGAGTACATGACTTCTGCAGAAGTCTGAGTGAAAATCAGAGATGTTTTCCATGTAGGAAATTATTACATAATTTTATGTGTTGGGTCATGTCATGATCTCAGATGTGATAGATGAGAGAGAGAGAGAGGGAGAGAGAAATATGCAATTTTTAAAATACAAGCATTTTCTTCACATTGTGTTTTGGTTTGTAGAGGCTATCAATTGAAATAAGTTGTCATAAATGCAATTCTATAACACTAAAAGCACATTAGATATTCAAAATATTTTTGTCCTAGCTAGTAAATGTGTATTCTTTATTGCAGGGGGGGAAAAAGCAGAGGCAACACATTTTTTGGGATGCAAACTGTTAGAGTGGAAAAATGAAACGGTGTAGGTTTGAGTAGGTTTGAGCTGTGCCTGCTGAGAGATGTGTCCTAGTTGACAGCGTACTATCAATACAGTATCGATACAAATACAGTGTATTTCACAAGGGTTTGATTACATACTATAAGTGCAGTCCAAGTATGAAGAAGTGTACACAATTCAGTCTGAAACAATACAATCAGCACACTGAAGTAGATTCCTATCAGTGCTCTACTGCATATAGCTTACTCTATAGTGTTTCAATTCATTCACTAGTCTTCTCAGATGCCTTGTTATATGTGCCGTGGAACTAGTCTGTCCACTATATCAGTTCAGCATTTATATTTCAGGATCAGTTTTATTTGATGAGATGTTTTCCATCCTTTTTAGCCTTGAAGCTGGAATAACTTTGCAGCTGTTGCACCTAAGCCATTTTTTCCCCTATAGATTTTACAAGCTCTTGTTTTTGTTTGACTTACATGGATTTGTGCAGGGATATTGACATGATTAATGTAAAGTTTAGGATGTCGGTGTGTGTCGGAAAGTACATCAATGAATCAGATCTGCATCATGTCCAGCTCGAGCATGTTGCATTGCCTTACATGATCTTTCTTTTCTTTTTAAAAAAAAAAATAAAACGGACAGGATGACATCACATCTGATGTAAATGTTTCACATTTTGATTTAACTCCATCTCTGACGGCCTTGTCAATAAACCGGATTAACTTTCATTTCTTTTCTTTCTTGCATTTATTAAGAAAATGACACATTTATTGGTGAACTCTTCTTTTACACCAACAAACATCTTTACAAAAACATCTGCATCCATAATCGAGGAACTATAAGATTTATAATATATACTTAGAATTATGATATTCATAAGTACAAATTATAATTGTCCTATGACCTTATAGCACAATATGCAAAATATCATCTTCCCAATGACACCTACAAGGGTTTTTTCATGCAGGCTGCTACTAAATCTCTCTCTTTTAAACAGAAACCTCCACACGTGTCTGGAAAAAGTTGGAAATTTGACTGGTTAGCATGTAAACTGACATTGGTGAAGGGAAGTCTTGAAATAATACAGAACTGGAATATGTTGTATTTCTTACATTTCCCCACAGACAAGTCTCAGTTTGACCTAAAATGTATTAAAATAAAACTAGCTAGAATGTAAGTGAATATTACTCCATCTGCGCGGGTGTGTTCAGTATATGGGCCGAAATGGAGATGGTGCTTTTGTGAATCTTCACGGCGAGTCCGACCCACTCCCCGGCTCGTACCTCCAGGGGCTGCTGCAGAACAACAGCGGCCTGCTTCCAGTGAGAGTTCTGGTTCAGGGTGCTGACACTGATCTCCTGGTCCAGGTAGATTTGATACCAGAAGGGGATTGCAGTTATTCTGCCTGCAGACGTAGCCTGGAGCTGTGAAACAAAGATGGAGGGTTTACACGATGTATGATGGCACATATGAACACTCAGATGTTGACATGCTCTGTCAGTTGTAGGTCACTGGTCATGTTTTGCTTTTTTCCCCACACAAAAAATTCAAATGAGCTCACGGTTCTTTTTTAATTCAGCCGTTAGCTATTTTCATTCTTTGCATTTTAATATTTATGTGTTAAGGGTAACGGCTTGGATTCCTGGGATTAATCAGTATCAAATCTCACTTTAGATCGCTGAGTGAATGTTAGAACTTTGTGAAGATGAGTGTCCAAAAACATGTTCGTGCACCACAACAGACAGTTCCGTAAAGTTTTATTTCTGAATGTTCAAAAAGTGGGTTTTGGGCTGAATTCACATAGGACCAAAAAAAAAAAAAAGCAAAGCTGTAAAGTAAGTAAGGTTAGAAGTTTGTAGGGAGATGTTTTTGTAGGTTTGACTCGTTTCTATTTTTTTGGCTCCATGTTCATGTGAGCAGCTCTGGGATTTCTGAACTACATTGGCAGAGTTAATGCATAAATGTAAGTTTTGGGAGCTCAGCGCTGTTCTACCATCAAACTGAACAGGTGACAGTTTAATTCTGCTGGTTCCAGTCATGTTAGCACCACTAAGGGGGGCTTCGCATGCCTCACCTTGACTTCTCTGTTGGTGTAGTTTGCGTTGGTATCCATCAGATCGAGAACAAAGAGCTCCACAGACTCACTGAGATGTCTGCACTCCAGCGTGGAAAAGTCCAGAAACACGTGGACCGGTACCTAAAGGACATAATATATAAACACAGGGTTAGTGAGCTGCTGGAAGAAGACAAAATAGGAACTTCTTCTTGACATTGTCAGTACTGTTGAGGTAAAGAAAATGGAACGACTTATTTATTCTATTTTAGTAAAAGAAAACCGCCTATTTCTTTTAGAAGACAAGTTAAAGTTTAGATGACTTGGGTTAAAGTGCTGAGATTGAAAAAAATACGAGGAACACCGCAGCATATTAATAGTATGAAGCCGACTCACATTTGATGCCGGCACTCTTTCACAGATGCCAGAATTTATCCAAATTAGGTTTTAATCGGCAGTGTCGGGAGGTAATCACTCAGTCACAGATTAAATCTTCCACCTGAGCCTCTCTGAAACCTGAGAAACAGGCAGCGGCTGCAGGACAGCACACTTTAAAGCCGACAGAGAAACCAAAGTGGCGGCAGAGAAAGTGCCCTTGTTTCCTTTCACTTCAGAACAAAAGAATCTTTCCTCCTCCCTGTCACAGTTGTGTAGACCTCAGAGCCCACTGTTTGATGTGCTTGATGTAATGTGTACTGATGGATTCAGGTAGGAATGTCTTTGGGCCAAGCTGTGTGTTGTGTCTTGTGTGACAGTTGTGCGAGGAAGTGCCCTCCACTGAGGGCTTCAAAGACAGCATCTGCTAAAACAAACGACCATCCCATGAGATTCCTGCGAAATTAGAGCACAAACATGATGCTGGAGAAAAAAAAAAAAAAAAAAAGATAATTTCCAGACCAAATAAAGAAAAAGAATTCAAAGGAAGAGTGCAGCTTCTTTAACGCAGCTGGGGAGCACACATCAAAGAGGAATACAGAAAACACAGTCCTGGACCTTAGTATTCTACGTGAACTACTTGTTTAACAAAAGAAAAGCCCATAAATGATAGAAAATACAACTGGACGTACAGTGGGTCTGATTTTTTTTTTCGGCTTTTATAGTAGCGCGCCATGCGTCAGTCATATTTACCGAAACCCCAGAAACATTATTTGCACCTGATGTACAATCTATGAATGTGAATGATGCAAGCTTACAAACACAGCATACTGTATGTGAGAACTGTCAGAATTGAGTGTTGCGTCAGGAACATAAGACAGAATACGAGATACGAGCAGCCTGAGATATACAAGGGAAGATTTCGCAACTTTTGTTATTAAAGACTGACAAAGTTTAAGCTGGTCAATGTGGTTTTAATGTGATTTGCTGTGAGTTATTGTGGATTTTATATTTTAAATCAGTGTAAGATGAAAGAAGACATTTTATAATAGAAATAATTATGCTCACAGTGCAACGGTAATGTCATTAACCTCCTATTAATGTAACTGTCAATCATTCGTGGAAAAAGTTCTAATATAGTGAATTTAAAATGTTGCTTCATCCATTAAAAAAAAGTAGGTCTGGATATATAGTCTGGAGTATAACGCACACAGTCTGTGTACAAAAGCACGACTGATAAAGCATTTTTGAGGTCGATACCGATACCAATGCACAGCTAATATTTGCTTTTTGGATACCGTGAATTTGGTTCAGAAAAAACTGCAACAAAAAGGGACTTTTTCTAGTATAGAAAAAATACTTTCATGTCTCCTGTGTGGACCAGAAATGTAAGTGCCCTCTTCATCCTGTTTAACATTATTTCTACAAGCAGTCGCTGTTACCTATATATCATACACACTGAAAACCAAACTGGATTCAACTAGTCAATATGTGACGTCCATTACGAATGCAAAGGTGAATAAAGGTCACTGTGAAAATGAGGCTGCAGTGTCCTTCAGCGGGACACTTTTACTTGCTTCTTCGAACCAGTCACTGCTTCAGATGTGTGCCATACATTTGATGAACTCATTGCTTTGTGAACTACAGTTTTTCTCAAATTGAAACTGGATGTGACGAGCAGGCAGGAATCTGAATGAGACCTCAAAGACACAACACACAGCGATACGGTAGTGACCTGTCAATCAAAAGGTGGCCTCGCCATAAAAACACATCCTGCTTTAATATTCATTTTACTCTATACAGGATTATAACTTACAAAATGACCTCCATGCTGTATTCATAGTCTTGCAAACCGGCAAATGAGACCATTAACTCATTTGGAAAACATTTACTGAGGAAACAAATCGAGGAAGAAGTAGTAGTTTTCTCATAGACTTCCATACAATCAGACAATCGAAAGAGTCGCCCCCTGCTGGTGGTTAGAAAGAATGCAGGTATAAGGCATTCCCACTTTGCTTCACTGTTTTGGCCCCGCAGACTACATCTGTCCTCCACATACAGTCTGTTGCCACACACAGTTTAACAATCACTATTAAAGCCGACATAATTATTAAGGTTAACAGCACAGTGACACTTCATGCCATGTTTTTTAGGAACTTCAAAGTACTCAATCTTATTTTTCTCATTTTAAATTCAATGTCACGTTTATTGAATAGAGGAGAAATTGTCGTGCAACTGGCGGTTGATGATCTGCAGGCCAGTACACCATCACCTCCTCTGTTTTACTCTGGTACTCAAGATGTACCCTTCTCACTGCAAACCCTGCAATGTGTAGTAGTTACTAGAGTAAAACCCTTTACATACAAGTTCACCTTTATGCATGGCAGACTTTTCTGGTGTACTTACAGTGAACTGGTTGATGAAAGGAGCAATATTGAATCCTAGCGTTGGCTCCTGACCCTGCACAGCACTTTCCAGTAGCAATATATCGGACTCCACCAGCATACCGTACACCACGATCTTGGCTGGGAAAATTCGACCTCCTTCCTCCAGCAGACACCTAAATAACAGAAATATTGCTGAAATATCTAGAATATCTAGAACTATAGCGCTAAAATGATAACCAAAATTACAAATCAAATAAACACAAGTGAAGCAGCTTCTGCCTACCTGGCCAGTGAAGCTTTCTCCATCAGCTTCTGTCTTATGAGACCGCAGGTTTCTACACAGTCCAGGATGATGGCGCTCCACAGCTTCTCCCTGGACGGCCTCTGCAGCATCCCCTGCTCGTCCTCCATGTGGTTGAGCCAGAACTCCAGATGCTGTTCTGAGATATTGCTGGAGCGAGCCAGTCTCTTAAGCACTTCCTGTTGCTTGTTCTTTTCCATGGAGCTGTAAGCTTTCACATGACCTTGGCTGGCAGCGATGAGGGAGAGCAGGGAGAAGCCCTCCGACACATCCAGCACATAGAGCAGGCTGCTGCAGTTTGCAGAGACGGCAGGGTCAGACTGGAAAACGGATTCTTGCTCTTGGTTTCGGCATTTTACCTTCAGCTGGGAGATGAGTTTGGCTAACGCGGTGCTGAAACTCTGATGGTACTCCTGGTTGTTCAGGAGAGCCATTTCTGAACATTCCAACACACAAAAGTCTTTAGTTTGACTCTGATCAGTCTGAAGACATGCGAGTGCGCTGCACAGTTCTGCCTCTGGGTTTGGGTTTCCAGAGTATTGTGAATCCACATGCTTGTCCAGATGGATTTTATGCCCATCCCTCAGGACAGCAACGCTGCACAGCCTCAGG